TTCAACAGGAATTTTGGGGAGACACAGTTCAGTCTATAGCAGCTCCTGAGGAGAAGTCAGATGCAATTCTTACCTTCCTCCTCTATAGGCAAGGTGTTCTTATCCTCTGGTATCTTTCAAGATTTTTTTCTTTATCTTTGATTTTTAGCAACTGGAATATAATATGCATGGGTGTAGTTTTTTGGCATTTATCATGCTTGGTGTTCTCTGAGATTCCTGGATATGTGATTTGGTGTCTGATATTAATTTGGGGAAATTCTCAGTCATATTCTGTACCATTCTTTCTTCCCCTCTGGTATTCCCATTACACATGTTATACATTTTATACTTGTCCCACAGTTCTGGGGGTTTTTTCAGTCATTTTTCTCTCTGATTTTCCATTTTGGAAGTTTCTATCAACCTATCCTTAAGCTCAGAAATTCTTTCCTCAGCCATGTACAGCCTACTTATAAGCCCTTCGAGGGCACTCTTCATTTCTGTTAGAGTGTTTTTGATTGCCAGCATTTCTTCTCGATTCTTTCTTGGAATTTCGACCTCTCTACTTGCATTGCACATCTGCTCTTGCCTGCTGAACACTTTATCCATTAGAGCCCTTAGCATGCTAATCATAGCTGTTTTGAATTCCCAGTCTGATAATTCCAACATCCTGCCATATCTAGGTCTGGTTCTGATGCTTATTATTTCTCTTCAAACTGTGTTTTTTGCTTTTTAGTATGCCTTGTAATTTTTTCCTTGGTAGCCAGACATGACGTAACAGGTAAAAGGAACTATGGTAAACAAACCTTTAGTCATGCATTATTAACGTGTGAGGGGAGAGGTATCCTATAGTCCTGGGATTAGTTCTCTGTCTTTTGGTGACCCTGTGTCTCTGGACTGTGAACTTCACAAGTGCTTCTGAGTCCCACCCTCACCTTAGGTGGAACAGAATGGCTTGAAAGGACTAGGCTGGAGTTGGGTATTTCCCTTCCCTCACATGGAAGGCTGTAGCCAAACTGGACTTTGGTATTTCCCCTCCTCCAGGTAAGTTAGGCTCCGAAAAAAATCCCAATAGTTTAGGCTCCAGTAAAATCTTGAGGCAGGCTTAGTTAAGAAGAAAAGAATGCTCTGGTATATTTCAAAATGGTTACTCTCCCTGCGGAAGGCAGGAAGGGGTTTTCCTCCAATATTCACTGTTGACAACCTGGTTGAGCTAGTGGGGGTGAAACTCACAAAAGTGTGGGGCTCCCTGATGACTGGATTCACCTGGAGTTATTAACCCTCAGACTTGTCTACACTGAGCCTCCAGCAATTTGTCAATCACTGTTCAGGTTTTCCTACCCCTGGTACTGGTTCCCATAGAGGTTTCTGCTCCTGGGTTCCTGTTCCTCTGTATTCACCTGTCTGTCTCTCCAGTTTTGGAAGCAGGAATTTGCCCTGCTGCCTCTCCTCTGATGGATCTAAGAAGACCTTTCTGTTTTTTTCAGTTTGTTCAGCTTTTCACTTATTCTTAGGATGGTGTAATAACTCCCAAACTCCTTACCTGCTGGACCATAAACCAGTAGCCAGTAACCGATCTTTTACAATGTTTCCAAGGTAATTCAATGGGGAAAGGTTAGACTTTTCAACAACTGTGCTAGTGAATCTCAATCTTTACCTCATCTCATACACACGAGTCAACTCAAAACGGATCATAGATCTAAATATAAGAGCTACAGCTACAAAACTTTTAGGAAAAAAATATTTGTAACCTTGCGTAAATATTTTTAGATAGAACATAAAAAGTACAAACCATAAAATAAATAACTTATAAATTTAACTTCACTATAATTTAAAACTTCTGTTCTTTGAAAAATAATCTTAATGAAATGGAAGTACAAGCCACGAACTGGAAAAAAATATATGAGCAATATATATTTGATCGAGAACTTATATCCAGAATATGTAAAAAACTCCTATCTTAATAATAAGAGCATACGATGCAATTTTAAAATGAGTAAAAGATTTTAACAGATTTTTCACCAATGATCTTTCACAAATGGCAAGCAAGCATATGAAAACAGACTCGACAATAATCGTTATTAGAGAAATGCGAATTAAAACCACAGTTAGATACTAGCACACGCTGGAATGGCTACTACTTTTAAAAACTGACAACATTAAGTGCTAGAAAGAATTTGGAACACTTGGAAATCTCAAAGATTATAGGGGGATGGAAACCAGTACTGACATCTTGGACAACAGTTTGGCAGTTTATTATGAAGTTATATGCATATATATATATATAATTCATAATTTTCAGTAACTGGAAATAACCACAGAAATGCTACTCAGCAATAAAAAAAAAAAACTACTGACACATTGTTGGATCTCAGAAGCATTGCACTAATTGAAAGAAGTACTTCAAAAGCTACATATTGCATAATTCCATTTATGTGAAGTTCTAGGAAAAGCGAACTACAAGGACAGAGAGCAGATCAGTGGCTGCAGGAACCTGCACCTGGGGAGGGGGATGAAGAAAAATTTGGTGGTGGTAGAATTGTTCTACATCATGACTGTGATGGTGACACATTCATCAAAACTCATCTAATTGTACATTTAAAACTAGTGCATTTTATTGTATAAAGTTGATTTTTTAAAGTTATAAACATAAAAATCATATGAATGGTGGTCAAAGGTTGACATAGGAAGAAGAGACAGACCACAAAGGGATACAATAGGACCTTTGAGTTGGTAATATTCTATAACTTGATTGTGGCATTGGTTCCATGACTCTATACATGTATCACAACTTACCAAATTATATATATTAAAAACTTGAATTTTGCAGCATACAAATTATATCTCAATGAACCAGACTTTCAAACAATTAATAAAAAATAAATATATAAACAAAAAGAGACTGGAACACAACAGAGCAAATTATAAAAGGGTCCTGTAAGGGAAAAGTTTGTGCCCCCGAATTTTATAGGCAGTCATGTGCCCTTTAACAAAAGGCAGTGGAAAGAGGTTTTCAGAAAACACCTAAGGAGTTTTCCTGAATGAAATCCCTGGGGTCTTGTGACAGAATAAAGGAATGTAGTTCAAAAGAAAGAACCCAGAAACACTGCTTAATTATATAACTGTTGTTCTACATGACAGTATAAATGTGGTAACAAACAGAGCCACCACAAGCATGTACATTACCATTGTGTACTAGAAAAAAGATCCTTCCCCTCTCTTTTTTTTTTAATGTAAAAAAAGAATAGCCACATGAAAAGGATGGAAGGAGTGAGGGAGGGAATTATGCCATTGATTACCCCAGAGAAATTCAAATGTGATACATCAGAAGATAATGTTATTGAATTCCTCTCTTCCACAAAGGGGAATAAACAATTATCTTTCTTCCACTGACACTGATGAGTTTAATATGATTTTAAGCTAACCTTTTAAAAAGTTAATTAATAGATGTCATATAATATATATTTAAAACCCTTTGGAACATATATTATTTACTGTTTTACATTTAATTTTTATTTTATCAAAGAGGTACTTGTGGCGTAACACATTAAAGGCAGGGTGTCCATAAAGTCAAGAAATATGTATACTATAAATTAATTACTTTTTTACTGATTGAAGATGCCCCTTAACACGTTATATGTGCTATTGATTTCAGACTTCATAGCCCTTCTGCAGTTCTACAAGCCTAGATGAACAGCAGTGGTCCCCTGCCCACACCATCCATCTCCTTGCTCCAACTCCTGCTTCCCAAAGGCAGGGACTTTCACCTGTTTCATCGTCTATTTACTTCCATACTTCCAGATAACATGCTTGTTTTGTTATTTCTTGATTTTTTTTCAACTTCAGATATTATTTGCTGACTTTCTAATGTGGAAGACAAGATTAAGACCTCCCCAAGACTTGTGATGATGGATGACTTTGTTTTTTGCTTCTTGTGTTCTTTGGTTTCCTATTATGCACATGTTAACTTTTAAGAAATAAATGTTATTTTAAAAACCTTAAAAAAAAAAAAAAAAGACCTCCCCAAGAGGAAGGACAGGAATAAAGACACAGATGTAGAGAATGGACTTGAGGACATGGGGAGGGGGAAGGGTAAGCTGGGACGAAGTGAGAGAGAGGCATGGACATATATACACTACCAAATGTAAAACAGATAGCTAGTGGGAAGCAGCCACATAGCACAGGGAGATCAGCTTGGTGCTTTGTGACCACCTAGAGGGGTGGGATAGGGAGGGGGGGAGGGAGGGAGACGCAAGAGGGAAGAGATATGGGAACATATGTATATGTATAACTGATTCACTTTGTTATAAAGCAGAAACCGACACACCATTGTAAAGCAATTATACTCCAATAAAGATGTTAAAAAAAAAAAAAAGACCTCCCCAAGAGGGGCACACGCATGTACACACACACACACACACACACACACACACACACACACACACACATTCATCTCCCCCATTCTGCCATTACAGTTATAATTCTTATTCAGGTCGCCATAGATACAAAATATTCACAGCTGAGCTACGCATGTACCATTTGCTTTTCTGATACCTCTTGCTGTTTTCCTAAAGTTAAAGCTTACCTTGTTTTTTCATCATCGTAGGTTTCCCTTGCTGCCAGCCTGGGTTTTAACTTTCTCCATCTGGATAAATCTATGGTCCATCTGTTTCCTGGATTCTAAAATTTTTTACTGTCATAGCCATTCCCGTTCTCTGTCCATAAAGCTTGATGCAACTGTATCCCTTTACCATGTTAAGCAGAAGCCCCACCCAGTGTCAGTAACTGACCAAGCCAGGCAGACACCTGGAGGGGGCAGGGGGTCAGACCAGGTGGGCTTTGTGCTCCGTGGCAAATTGGGTATCTTAATGCATCTTCTAAACCACTGAGGCTTCATCCGCCAGGCCCTGTTATTGCTAATGTGCTCAGATCCCATTTCTCTTGAAATTGGAAGAGACATTTGTTTACTTAAAATACCGTTAATTCAGTGGATGTGAGAAGAAGGCCCTGGGCCTCATACCTACCTTCACGGCGCTGAAGCAGAACACGTGCAGCACAGCTGCGGCGGAAGCACTCCGGGCCACGCTGTAAACGGCCGACAGCATCCCCGAAACAGCTGGAACACAAACGTCAAGAGTTCCCTTCTAGACTGGCAAGCCTCACGGTCAGTACATGTTGTAAGACATGAAGTTTGTACGTAAATCAACTATACTCCAGTAAAAATTAAAAAAAAAAAAAAGAAGAAATGAAGTTTGTAGCTTTCAAACACAAAATGCCTGTGAAAGGGGCAAAAAAATCAATCTACGGGGCAGTCAAAAAGCCCTGAGCGACTCTTAGTACAAGAAAGACACTGACCGCTACCTAACAACTCAAGAGGACCACAGATAGAAAGAACTTTTGATAGCATTCTTGGAAGGCTGTGTGAACCAGGCAGTGCGGAGGTGGGGAGACCTTGTCGCTTACAGTTGGAAGCTGCTGGCCCCGGAAAGCTCAGAGATGGCCATTTCAACAGAAGAAAGGAGAGAGATGGAGCTGGAGACGGGGATGGAGATAGAGATGGGGATGGAGACGGAGATGGGGATGGAGATGGAGATAGAGATAAGGACAGAGGGAGATGGATGATAGATAGATAGATAGATAAAAAGAACAAGAAAGCACTCCTGTGTGTGTGAGCGTGTGTCTGTGTGTCTGTGTGTGTACAAGGAGGTGGCAGCAGTAATTAATTGCCCTCTATGGTCTTGTGCTTTATGTACAGATTTCATGGAATCCTTACAGCAACACTATGAGATCAGCACGTTAGTCTCCATTTAGAGAAGAGTAAACTTTAAAGGTAAGCAATCTGATTAAAGTCTCCAAGTAAGCATTAGATGAAGCTTCATCCACCTTGGTTGGAATCTAAAGTACACACCAAATGAAAGGACACAGGTCGCCTGTCTGTACAGGCCCGCACACCACACACACTCACAATGTCTCATGCACACGCTCCCAGACTAACTCAGACGTGTACATGCTCAAATACACACACGGCGCACACACTCACCTCCACTCACCCACATTCACACACAGTCACACATACGGCTTTTCCAAAGAACACTTAGAAGAGCCTTAAACCTAGTGCAAAGCTCATGGAATTCTACGCTTCCCTGTTTTCCGCTTGTGTCAAGCTGGGTGGACCACTTTCAACTTGGATGAAGGAATCTAGAAGGGCCCACCATCAACCTGACGGACCAGAGCTGAAGTCCTACAAAGGCTCAGGACAACCTAACTGTCCAGACCTCATTCCACGCCTGAGGCTACTTAGCCCTTATCTGAACTTCAGACTTTTTTACAGGACGAACAGAATGAACAAGACTTACCAGAACCTCCAAAAAACAGCATGTCAATTTGCTCCAAAAGATAGATGCAGAAAGTGTTGATCTGCGGGAAGAGCCCAAGGAGGGAGATTGCAGGGAAGCAATATAGAAATACTGGAAGTGAACAGACAAAATTGATGGTAAGCGTGCGGGAAAGGTGGCCGAGGTTCCTGCTGCAGTCCCACCTCCCTCCCCCCTTTCAGCCCAGCCCACCCCACCCAGGTCCTGGAGGCAATACGGCCTCCTCTCCCCTACCCGCTGGAGGAGGTTGGAGGTTGAGCCGCACAGGCCCGTGGAAATAATAAAGGCGCTGCTTTTGAGGAAGAGGCGGGCCTGGGACTGAGCAGACACATGGGGATGGGGGGCGGAGAGTAGATCTGCCTTCAGCTCTCAATGACAGACTTGGACTTAGGGGAAATGAGATGGGAAAAGAGGACCAGGAAAATTACATGATCATGCAAAACCCAAGCACAGTTGTTAGAGGGTCTCTTCCAGCAAGGCTCCTTGCTTTGTGCTTCTATCACCTCCAGGGCTTGAGTTGCTGTGTGTGTTCTGTTCTAAATACCCGGTGGAGACTCAGGTTTCAGTCAGAACCTCAGACCCACAGAGCAGCAAGGGAGAGTGGTGATGAACTAAGAAATCCCACAGCCATGACGATGCGACACTGAAGGGCCTGCTTCTCAGGTGGCGCACGTCACCTGGGAGGTGAAAGGGGCCCTGCCTGACGAGAGGAAAACTGGCAGCTTCCCAAACCGTAACAACGCAATTGGATGAAACATCCATACGTTATAATTCAGTGTTTCACAGAGATCATTTGTTCAGGGAAATAACGCATCGTCGAGCTGCATTTTACAGCAATTTCCCCATCATTCTCTTTCTCGATCCTATTTGAGTTGGGTTGCAGAGAAACACAGAAACTCCCATTAGTGGTGCCACAGTACATCTGTCTACCTTTCTGTCTCAGTTTATTGGGTGGAAAGTCAATGAAGTTTGATACTGGTAAACCCTAATAAAACTAAGGAAATTTGATTTGAAATCTAAGACACCTAAACATGGAACTATGTCCAAACCCCATGTATAAACTGCAGTGAAAAGGGCAGGTAGGGAGGATGGGGACCGCGTTTCAGCTATTTCTGAAAAACTGGAAACGCAAACTTTCCACAGTGAAATTGCAGGGATGAGAGTATTTATGTGTGCCATTCTCTGGCTAATCGTGGGTTAACCCCACTACAGTAAAATGGGGCAAACCCAACTACAACAATACCAAGAAACTGTTCCAACAATGTGTGGAAATAAAATTTTATGTAATGAACATGGCTATGATAAACGGGCCTTTGTTTGGGATTGGAGCCATATTTTGACACACATGGTGATTTTGTTGTAATGTTGTCTGTGGCAAGATTTTAACTATATGGTGAAAACCCAAAGCATCTGTGAGTAATACGTTTCTCAATCAAAGCCGGCAATAACAAGGGGGGGTCGGGGGAAGGAATGGGAGTTTGGGATTAGCAGATGCAAACTATTACATATAGGATGGATAAACAACAAGGTCCTACTGTAGAGCACAGGGAACTATATTCAATACCCTGTGATAAACCGTAATGGAAAAGAACAGAAAAAGAATGTACTGATACATATATGTTTAACTGAGTCACTCTGCTGTACAGAAGAAATTAACATTGTAAATCAACTGTACTTCAATAAAGTTTAAAAAAAAACCGAAGTCAGCAACAAGACACAAATACGGATCTGCTAGTCATAACTATATGACAATTTCTTTTTTCAGTTTTTATAGGAAAGGAAAGATATAAGAAATAAACAGACACTTAATGGCAGGACATACCGTTTTGAGCATGAACATTTTAATTCATATGATTTTAAGCAAACTGACTAGTTCTCTTCTTAAGTTTGGGACTCAAAACCCAGCAATGAAGATTAGATGGTACGCTGCATTCGTCACGGGCATTAGTCCACATTCTCAAGTGTTGTGTGCAATGAAAACTACCAAAAACGAAGAACTACAGAGAAAAGTATGGGTGTAAAATAATGTAATAATGGTAGACAAATACCAGCAAAACGTGGGTAAAGAAGTATTCTCTGTGAGAAATACATTAGGCTACAAAACCCAAACTAATAAAGTGCAAAGCACTGGAACACGATGAATGATGCTGGGGGAAAATAAAATGGTACGAGCCAGGAGGAAGTCCTAACTGAAGATCCTCTGGCTGTGCCTGCGGAGCAGGAGCTAGACGACACAGCACACGACGGACAGCAGTTGACAGGGAGCCCAGGGTCTAGGTCTCCCCCAGGATGAAGTACAGAGGAAACCTCTCGTCTTTAGGGTCAGAGCTGCGCAGGTGGAATTAGAAGAAGGTGGAGGCCACGTAAATGTCAGGGTGCAGCGCACATGAATGAAGAAGCATCAGGAGGACGGCTAGAAAACTCCGCTTGAAGTTGCCGAAATGATTTTGTCCTTTTTTCCATAAGTAAAAAATCAAAAAGTCCCTGTGGTTGTTGGCAACTTTCCCTGTGAACAAAGACATTTTTCTCAGCGTACTGCTGAGAGGGTCTGTAATTTTCTCTCACATCTTCCCTACTCCTCATGTTTCCTAATAATTACCATAAGTGCAGAAACTTCTGGTACAGTTCCACTTCTTTCCAAGCACAATGCATAAATAAAAACATTGGAACTTGCTTCTTTCTTCCGTTATGTGAAGAGTAATATTCATTACTATATCTGCAGGTTGGGGCTTGGGGGAGGTAAGCAGAATTAAAATAACATGGAAGTAAAACCAAGACTATGAACTTGGTATGACTGTATGCGTTGTGTGTCTCCTACATGCCATATCTGTGTATTCGCACACTGCTGACACGGATTCCTGGGGCCAAGAGACAAGTCTTTACACAAGACATGGAAATGTGAGTCTCAGAGTGCAGATGACGGTGGATCCATCTCAGTCGCTGGTTACAAAACCTCCACCATCTCCAAGGGTTACATCCTTGAAGCTGCATTAGTGTAGGTAAGGGATTATGGTCCTAAAGACTAAAATAAAACATCAAACTCTCACATCTGAAAAAGGACCCATCACATCTGATAAAGAACCCATACAGGGCATGGAACCCTTCTACAAGTGATGGCTGTCTCATCTTGCCTGAGCTCTTCCCACGTCAGGGAACTTCTCGCATCACTAAGCAACCCACGGCCCTATTGGACAGCTCTACACCAAACCACAACACCAGTCTTCCAGTGAGCCGAAATCCACCCACCAGCCACTGGGACTTAGTTACTACAGCTACACCAACAGAGAACAACAGAGAACAAAATCCCTCCCACTTTGGCCTGGCAGCCTTTGAACCACCTACAGCCATCACATGTGCCTCTAGGACTCAAGCATTTCTTCTCTAGGCTGGACGCCCCCATTCCCTCGCCCCATGTGCAGACCCAGTGTAGCCCATGAGGCCACATTCCTCAGGGCACACTCTAGCTTTGCTACTGCTCCTCTTGAAATACGGTTCCAAGAACTGAAGACCTCTCGGCTTTCTCATCCAAAGGATGATTACAAAGCCAGTCTCGCTCATAGGCTTTTGCTGAAGTTACCCAAATGGAAAATAATAAAAATTTCAGCGCAGAGGTCAGCAAAGGAAATGAGCACTGACTAAGAAGGCCCTTCACTTTCCTCCTGGAGGAAAAAAAAAATTATTTTCCTTATAATGAAAGAGAAGTGATATTCTGAACATATACGAAAGATCATAAAAGGAAAATAACTTATGTAAGAATATCACCCTGAGTGTTTCTACTTCCTTAATTCACCCCTCAGCCTACAAAAGCAACTAGTCCCACCACGGACTTTGTCTTTCTTCCTGTGCCAATTTTATCCCCCAGATTCCTCGTCTCTTGTCACTGTGCTTTCTCCTCCTTGTATTGTTCTGTTATCTGATGTCCTCTTCTTGGATTACATAGGACAAAGAGCTTCTCCATCCTTCCCACCTGCTCAGTGGCCGCTGGACTCATCTCCTACCCTTGGTTCGCATTCAACCCCTTCCTCCCTGGGAGCAGAATAAGGCAGCAGACACCAGATCTTCCTGTCTCCCTTGCCCCTCCGCTTCCTCTGGTGCCTCTCTCCACTGTGGTACGCTGATGGTCTGAGCAGAAACCAAGAGCGGCGGTGGAGAACAGAGATTATCACCCATAAGGCACAACTCCAGCCAGAGGAGAACCACTTCCTCCGCGAGACAGGCACAAGAGCATCTTCAGACACGTGATGGTAAACAACCTCACACGTACTCACTTCCTGTTTCTCTCTTGTGCTGGTCCTAATGATGGCTTTGACAATCTCCTCTTGAGTAAAATTTCTGGCTGGCAAGTAGCAGATCTAGGGGGTGGTGTCTTTGGTAACTGTCCTTTATCAACTCATCCGGTCAATGGGATCAGATAATCACAAGTCAGCAGGTGTGGAAACCTCTGGATGTCATCACAAGAATTCTCAGAGCTTTGTCAGTCAAGTCTTCGGAGCTGCGGGCCCACAGTGGGGCAGCCTCTTCGCGTAATAAAGATGATAATAGCTAATACCTGGTTAAAGGCACGTTTCTATGTGTTTAAATATACCAACTCATCTAAAATCTGCAACAATCTCCGTGGTGTGTACTATTTTTGTCCCCATATCACAGTTGAATTTTGCTTAAGGTCACACAACTAGTAAAGAAGAAGAGATGGAATTCAAACAGCCAGCCATCTGGCTCCGAAGCTGGGGCTCTACACCATTATATTATGAAGGTCACTTGTGTACATGGAGCATTTTACATCAAACACCGCCTAGACCTTAAGGCAAGTAAAGTGCACCAATGGAAGGCTGGGTGACATCCAGGACTCCATCTGGACTGAGAACCATGTCCACTCACATGTTACCAGAGCATCTGTGCCGTGCAGATGGGGCTGTGGCTGCCACCCTAATGGCAAAATCGCCTCCACCCTGGGGAGCCCCACTGACGCCACACATCAGGCACCTCAGCCACCAGTCTTCAGATATTATGATGCTGCAGCTCCCTGCTCATGGATATCAACTTCCTTTAGAATAAGTCCCTTGTTGGATGCTTGGGGCTCTGCCTCCCAGGCCGTCTTCTGAAAGTGTGCAAGCCAAGAGAAAAAATGCACATCTCTTGATTCAATAATAAAGTAAGAAAATTTATCCAACGAGGGATTCAAAAAATAACGGGGAGAAATACCCTCCCACCTCCATATTCTTCCCCACAACCCCCAAATGAACTCACCTATTAAGAAGTCCCTAGCCGACTGGAGAGACCCTGGAGAGAAGAGCTTCAGGCCATACACAATGTAAGTGGGAGGGTACCTGGCTTTGGCCCCAGTATCAAGCAGCAAGATAAGGCCACAAAGCACACAAAAATAGATTGGTCTGCTATATGTTATGATTTGGTTGTGTCCCTAGAAAACAAACACAATTTCTGAATGGTACCTTTAATTTTGATTAAATAACAAAAGCCTCATAGTCAATCATTTATACCATATTATACAACTTATACCATATAACAATTCACCCCTCCCCCACCATAATTCATACACACAAAACACCAAGGGGGAAAAAAAAATACCCTGATGTTTACTCTGTCAAAGAAGAATATCAAAAAGAATGTTACGTCTCTCAGACTCAGCAAGATTTACCTGAAAATGTAATTACCAGCCTTGGATAAAATCTAGATCTAATTCAATGCTTCCCCCACAGTGAAACTTCCATTTGTGTTGTTCATTTCAAGTGCCAAACTAATTTAAACCACTATTTGCTCTGCATGCTCTAAGTTGAGCTCCATTATTAACAAGAAATAGAATTACAAGTTGTAGGCTTCAATTTCCTTATGTCTTAGAAAGCAAGACAATACAGGTGCCAAATTATACCTGCAGAGACTGCACAAAATGTCTCAGTGTAGCACAGTGGAATAATCAATTTTTAAACATTTGCTATTTATCTGCATTGTCCTCTGAGGAGGACCAAAAACTTAACTAATTTCATCTTAACCTTCAAAATATTCTTAAGAGGCGAGCGGACACATTGTTTTATTCTTCTTCTGGAATGGATAGAAAAATTAAGGAAAAGCTATAACATCAACTTTCCAGGGCAAAAGTCAATGAACAATTAATTTACATCTCACAAATCAATGCACAGTTCATAAGGTTCAAAAAACCAACAAAAATGAATTAGGGAGAGAATATTATTTGCAATTCATGAACTACTTTGAGTATAAAAAGTCAAGATGAAAGTGATACAAGTTTGATCACCTCACACCAGTCAGAATGGCCATCATCAAAAAATCTACAAACAATAAATGCTGGAGAGAGTGTGGAGAAAAGGGAATCCTCTTGCACTGTTGGTGGGAATGTAAATTGATACAGTCACTATGGAGAACAGTATGGAGGTTCCTTAAAAAACTATAAATAGAACTACCATATGACCCAGCAATCCCACTACTGGGCATATACCCTGAGAAAACCAGAATTCAAAAAGAGTCATGCACCACAATGTTCATTGCAGCTCTATTTACAATAGCCAGGAGATGGAAACAACCTAAGTGTCCATCAAGAGATGAATGGATAAAGAACATGTGGCACACATATAGAATGGAATATTACTGTGCCCAAAAAAGAAATGAAATTGAGTTATTTGTAGTGAGGTGGATAGACCCAGAGTCTGTCATACAGAGTGAAGTAAGTCAGAAAGAGAAAATCAAATACCGTGTACTAACACATATATATATATGGAATCTAAAAAAAAAAAAAGAAAAGAAAAAGGGTGCTGAAGAACCCAAGGGCAGGACAGGAATAAAGACACAGATGTAGAGAATGGACTTGAGGACACAGGGAGTGGGAAGAGTAAGCTAGGACGAAGAGAGAGGCATGGACATATATACACTACCAAGTGTAAAACAGATAGCTAGTGGGAAGCGGCCGCATAGCACAGGGAGATCAGCTCGTTGCTTTGTGACCACCTAGAGGGGTGGGATAGGGAGGGTGGGATGGAGACGCAAGAGGGAGGAGATATGGGGATATATGTATACGTATAGCTGATTCACTTTGTTATAAAGCAGAAACTAACACACCATTGTAAAGCAATTATACTCTAATAAAGACGTTAGGGCTTCCCTGGTGGCGCAGTGGTTGAGAGTCCTCCTGCCGATGCAGGGGACACGGGTTCGTGCCCCGGTCCGGGAAGATCCCACATGCCGCGGAGCGGCTGGGCCCGCGAGCCATGGCCGCTGAGCCTGCGCGTCTGGAGCCTGTGCTCCACAACGGGAGAGGCAACAACAGTGAGAGGCCCGCGTACCGCAAAAAAAAAAAAAAAAAAAGATGTTAAAAATATAAAATAAAAAGACTAGGAAATAAGTCAAAAAAAAGAAAGTGATACAAGTTTGGATATGAATTTTTAAAGTCACTGACTTGAACATATTTAGAAATGCAATTTAAATTGCCACTGCTTCTATAATAGAAATAGTCTTATTCTGAGACCATCTTTTAATAGGAAGGAAAACACAGGCTGTCCATGGGGGCTGGCTATGTCTGGCCCTGAGTCCAGACTCAGTCTTAAAGGAATATTTTGTACTCTTATGAAATTTCCTTTTGAATCCAACTAGGTCATAGATTAATGAGTAAGGGGCTACTTCCTCTGCATTTAAAAAAAAATTGAAACTAAAGCATAAGTGAAATCTTAATGCATTTCTTATCAAGTGAATATCAAAATAAATTGCTTGGTATAGACAGCCACTTAGTATACAAATACACAAGCATATGAGATCTTTCCTCAAACTGATACCATTTCAGAAATATAATTAAATAGCTACTTCCCACTTGCCCTCGTTCTTTCTGTTACTAAAAGGTTAAAAATAACTTTTTCCAGGAATTGAAAGTCTATGGCTTTGAACAAATTTAAGATATCATCTTGGATCGTCCAAGTCAAACTTTATTTATTGGGCATGGGAATGCTTCCTTTTTATTTGTAATTTCTGAGATAAACCTTAAGGCTCCCTTAGAAACAGGCTGCCCTCACCATCATGCTATCTTTGGGGTCCCCAAACCATTCTAAGCATATCGCTAATACATGGCATGTGAGTCACTTTTATTTGTCTTGATTCCTAAGAACACCCACTAATAAAATTTCCCTCTTCTCCAGTTCCTTCTTTCACGTAGGATTCAATCATAAAACCTCCCAAGGATTCATTTTTTTTTTCAATAGAAAAATTCCACTCGCTCCTCCAGGTGAAGTCTGATCACAATCTTTTCAAACTTGTCCAAGTGTTTCCCACCTGTTTTTTCACCTTCAAATGCCCTGGGGAAGCACTGCTGATTTCTGCTCTGGGGCATCTTGCAGGCTGTTTTACAAAAGCTGGTCTACACACGCATTTGGGTCTCCCGTTAACCCCACCTACATATACAATTTCACAGGCGGTGCTCTGGTCGCAGGACAAGAAAAGGGTAAGGTGAGAGAATCTATCCAAACCTACAGGTCCCCACCCGGAGAGCAGTGGTGCTTGTGGCTAGGGGACCAGGCCATTCTAATTGTCCTCTTACCAAGACAGTGGGCTGGTCAGATGTTTCAAACTTGCTGCTGATAGATAAGTAGATAGATGGATGGATGGATAGATAGATAGATTGATAGATGATAGATAGATAGATAGGTAGGTAGATAGATATAGATGGATAGATAGACAGGGAGACAGCGATAAAAGGGTTTTGTTCTAAGGCAGATGGGGTGTCTGAACCCAGGGGCACTGAACCAAGGCCGTCAGCAACCAGGACACGCCAGCCCCATCCCATCTCTGCCGTTACCCGTGCCAGCTCCAGGCTTCGTGCAGATCCGAACTCTCTGCTTCTCAGCCCAGAGGGCGGACAAGAGCTGCCTCACACCTGCTGAGTCTGCACAAGTTCCTGTCTGGCCGCACTCAGAGGTCAGCTGGTTTTGACAAGCTGATGTAAGACAGCAAAGGCTAACATTTATCCTGCTTTCCTGTGCCTCAGGCACTCTTCTACCTACTTTAAATATTCCACTCGAAGAAGTCCTACCATTACTCTCATTTTGCCAAGAGTAAACTGAGGCACAAAGAGGAAGAAATGTGTCCCAGGCTTTGCAGTGCGGCCGAGCCAGGACTTGGATACTACCCACTGGCTACTACCCACTGGCTCGCCAAACTGACCCAGATGGTGATTGCATTTGCCACTGGATCCTTCTAGGCCCAACACTCAACCTCACTCGGATCAAGTTCATTCGCAATCCTCATTCTTTAGACACATGACGTGAATGTTACTCATGTGAAGTAAAGAGAGAGTGGGGGGGAAATCATTTGTAATAGCTTCTCCTGGAAGGTGGAAGAGGGCTCCTACCAGGAGAGGGTGTAGAAAAGTAACTGCCCGCTGCTCTGTCCAGCCCCTCTGAGACACTACGTCTACCTACGTGGAACTCTCTTTACTCTAATAAGGATTTGCTGTTTGCTTTAGCAATTCACCTGTTTATATTTAGAGTCACATTTTTCTAATTGAAGTATAGTTGATTTACAATATTGTGTTAGTTTCAGATATACAGCATAGTGATTTGTTTGGGGGGTTTTTTATGCAGATTATATTCCATTATAGGTTATTGCAAGATATTCAATATAGTTCCCTGGGCTATACAGTAAATCTTTGTGGCTTATCTATTGTATGTACAGTAGTTTGTATCTGTTAACCCCATAATTTATCCTTCCCCCTCTCTCCCTTTTGGCAACCGTAAGTTTGCTTTCTGTCTGTGAGTCTGTTTCTGATTTTTCTATAGATTCATTTGTATTATTTTTTAGATTCCACACATAAGTGATATCATACAGTATTTGTCTTTCTCTGTCTGACTTATTTCACTAAGCATAATATTCTCGAGGCCCATCCAAGTTGCTGCAAATGGCAATACTTCAGTCTTTCTTTTTTTGCTGAGTGTTATTCCATTGTTTATATACACCATCTCCTCTTTATCTAATCTGTTGATGGGCACTTGGGCTGCTTCCATGTCTTGGCTATTATAATAGTACTGCTATGAACACTGGGGTGCGTGTATCTTTTCTAATTAAAGTTTTCATTTTTTCTGGATGTATACCGAAAATTTTTAACTATACACTTCAGTTCCCCTTGTGTGTGGAGCAAAAGAAGGAGATCTGGGGATGAGCGCCCACTGCCCTAAGGAAGCTGAACCCCAGTAAAACCCTAGCCAGCAAGTATTCTATGACCCACACTTGGTGGCATATATATACAGTGGAATATTACTCAACCATAGAAAAGAATGAAATAATGCCATTTGCAGCAACATGGATGGACTTAAGAGATTATCATACGAAGTGAAGTATGTCAGACAAACATTGTATGATATTACTTATACCTGGAATCTAAAAAAATGATACAAATGAACTTATTTACAAAACAGAAACAGACTTACAGACAGAAAAACAAATGTATGGTTACCAAAGAGGAAAGGTGGGGAAGGGATAAATTAGGAGTTTGGGATTAACAGATACATACCACTCTATATAAAACAGATAACCAACAAGGACCTACTGTAGAGCACAGGGAACTATACTTAATATCTTGTAATAACCTATAATGGGAAAGAATCCGAAAAAGAATAGATATGTATATGTATAACCAAATCACTTTGCTGCACACCAGAAACTAACCCAACGCTGTAAATCAACTATACTTCAATTTCTAAAACTTTTTAGTGAAATTTAAAAAAAACCGTTTCTCCGATAAACAGCACCTTAACCAGGTGTTCAAGGTCAACATCAAAAGTGGTTCAGTCATGTTGATTGTACATAACCTCGAAATGACGTAAGGAAAACGGCACTTTACTTCTGTGGTTTTCCTCCCCCATAACCCAGTTAAATCATCAGATGAGCCCCAGCTAAATCCCAACTGAGGGACAGTCTACAAAATCCCTGACCAATGCTCCTCAAAGCTGTCCAGTTATCAAAAACCAAGGAAAATCTGAGGAACTGTCACAGCCAGGAGGAGCCTTAGGAGAGAGAATGACTAAATGTCAGGCAATGTCCTAGATGGAATCCTAGAAAAAAAAAAAAAAAGGGATATTACGTAAAAACGAAGGAAATCTGAGTGAAATATGGACTTCAGTTAATAATAATGTATCCACATTGCTTCTGTAGTTGTGACAACTGTAACATACTGATGGAAGAGGTTAATAATTGGGGACCTAGGGGTGGGCTTTGTGGAAACTGTACACTCAGTCCTCTGGATCCGCAGAGCAGAAGGAGAAAGGAAAGAAACCTTTACAGAGGACTGAATATTCCAGGTCCTGCACTGGGTACATTATATAGATTATCCAACTCACTCATGACCAAATCCAGCTGAGGCTGTTATTATTATCCCCACTTTACTCACACAAAAATTACCAACATTTGTCAAGTGCTCCCGCGGTGCCAGATTCTAGGCTGAGCCCTGGATGTACATTATCTTGTTTAATCCCCTTACAATCCTATTTTATTATTTCCTCTTTTACAGAGGAAAAACCTGAGATTCAGAGAGGTCACTTGACCAAGATGCCGTAGTTTGTACGTGGCGAGGCTGGATTCAAATCCCGAAACCCACACGCTTCCAGTTACCCCGGTGTTTCTCGGGTGTGATCTGAGATCACCTCCGCCATCAGCACGGGGTGGGGGAGTGTTAAAATGCAGGTTCCCAAGTGCTGCCCCAGCTGTCCTAACTCAGAATCCCTGCAGGTGCTGGGAAAGGCCCCGACACTGCCTCTGTGCCAGTGATCCCACTGGATTTTGCTTTCTGGGTTATCATTAGTGGATACTGTTGGTTAGACCAGTGTATAAATCTGTGTAAGCCAAGGAAGAGCCTCACTGCCTGTGACTAAGGTGCCAGTCTCTGATCCTCAGATTCCTTCCAGGAGCTACCCCCCATTCTCATTTTTGTAAGCTCTCCTAGACCTCTCTTCTTTTCCAATCAGACACGTTTCTTTCAGGCCCAGGGTCGATGGTGCCATAACTGTTAGCAGGCCAGTGTTAATCTGTAACTCTATCTGAAGCTCACAGAATGTTATGAAAAAAAAAAAATTTTTTTTTTCATTGTGCTATCTTCAGGTTTTAACAACTTGCTCAAAATTTGCCACCTCTGTGCTCCTGGAAGGAAACAAAGGAGAAAGTCAGTCAATCACTCCAAGAACTGACTGCATTAATGGCCCTCCCTGGGAACGAACAAAGTAACGCAGTTTTGAAACGCACTGGTTCATCTGACAGCCCCTGATGAATGAACCTTAGCCAGGGCTGGTGGCAGGCTTGAGCACCATCTCTCTACCAGACTGGGTTCATTCTCTTGACCATCTCCTTTCTGAGGTTTTCTCATCTCTAAACAGTAAATCAGCCTCTAAACGCCTACATGGCTCAGCCACACTGCAAGAGGAACTATTTTATAGCTACCATATTTTCTTGCCTCATCAGAACAGTTAGAGAAATGCCAGCTCAAATCTGGGACTCATTCTACTCAGAAATCTGTGTAAGCAAATTAAGTACTGCCATAAACATAGTTTGATGTCTGACTGTGGCTTCTGTTGACAGTAAGAGAAGTCGTTTCTTCCTATCTCACTACGACATGCTTGCTCAGATAAAGGAAGGGCAGCTGCATTTAGTCCTCCAGGAACTGGATCAATATAGACAATACGACTCCAACTTAGAGCAGGACCCAAGGGTCCTGCGAACAGTCATTACAGATCTACAGGGATTATGCAGCTGTACTTGCCATCCCCCTTGCCTAGCATTATTCCTGAAAGTACATGCAGGAAATGAATGTTTAACAGCGTGCAACACCCCTCCCCCACGTCACCCAGAAAGACAGTGACCCAAGTGCTGTCACTAGGAAGCGGGGCTTATTTATCACAGCAGGAGGACGCCAGTGTCGCGTCTAGGGTGGGCTGGGACAGCACACCCCAGGGCTGTACGTCTCTGCGCTCACCACCTAACCCAGATTCCTGACAACAATCACAACGGCACATCCGTGATAGCCTAATTATGCTGCTTCTGCTTATCTTGACATTCAGACTCTGGGATGAAAGAAGATGTATTATATGTATTAAACCAATTATGGGGAACAGAGGAATTTAACAAGATAGTAATGTATGCCAGGTGAGTGTCCAATTACAAGCTTTTCTTAATTACTATGAGCTAAGCATGAGCTATCACAGATCTAAAAGCAGTCCTAAATCATGGATATGAATTTTTTTAAAGGCACAGTAGCGGGAAGGTCAAGTTTTCTTTCTTTGGAAGTGGTTTTTGGGGACCCACAGGAGCTCACCATGACAGAGGAAAGAAGGTTTCCCAAGGAGCTGGGACATCCACCAGGCAGTGGTCTCGGTGCACAGGCATGTGGCCAGGGTCCCAGTAGGGAGAGTGCCAGACCTGGAGCCGCAGCACCACAGGGGAAGGTGCAGCTGGGTCAGTGGATGCTACGTGTGCTTCCGAGCTCATGGAAGAACACCCAGGCACCGAGAGATCAGTGCTGGGGAGCCCGGAGTGTCAGATATAAATGAGCCCCAAATGATGAGGTAAAAGGTAACAATACACTTGAAAATGTGGAAGAGAGAGAGATCAGCTTCAGGTAAAAAGAATAATGATTCATGCTTACATACTGAGGTTTCTACCATCTATTAAGCAATTTCTCTATGCCAGGCACTGTTTTAAGCCCGTTACTTGGATTACTGAATCCCCATAGGCATTTTTATTATCCTTATTTACACACAGGGAAGCTGAGGCATGGAGAGTACACATTTTGTTCAGGGTCCAACAATCAGACACAGGAACCAGAAAACGAACGCAGGCAGCCTGACTGCAGAGTCTGGGCTCACCGTCTTTCCTGACATGAGTCCAGTGGGGGCAGAAAAGGCCCTGCACACATTCTTGGTTCCCATCCTGTTCTGTCCCTGCCACCATCCCCACCACGCTCTCCGATCTAGCCTGAACTTGGCCACCATGCATTAATATTTCTATTTATATATTCAATATATATGGATATTGATATGCACGTCGCCTTTTGAATCTATTTTGCCCATTCCCCTATCTTCAACGCAAGCAGAGAGGACAAGCTACTCGCCCGTGGTTGGACACTTACGTGGATTGGCGAGGCGGGGTCAGGCTGAACGCTCTAGAACACAAATGAGAAGTGTCTGTGTCATCATCTCATGATTTCAAGGCTACATTAGTGATGGTAAGAATTAGATGTGCTCTTGCCTTTAACAGGGAGTACTGGCAGCTGGCCATGACGAGGCAGAAGAGAAGCACCCACATGTCTTTGCAAAAGCCTCGGTTCAGTGTCAGAAATCCGAGCAGGGAAACCAGGACAATCAGTAAAACTGCCAACACGTTTTCCTTGACATCTTCAGTTCTGGGCAAAATAAACAAATTAAAAATGGAGGGAATAAAAGGTAAGGCTGTCTGTTTTTAAACAGAGAATACCTGCATGCTTCTAAAAAGACTGGCCACAAGAGAGTACTTATCCCAAGCACGCCTTTATATTTGGTAACAAGATTTTAAGGTTTCCTTCTTTCTTTCCTTCGTCCTGTGTTTTATATTTTTTAAAATCCATATTTAACTCCTACTTTCTGTTATTGAAGTAAATGAAATATAATCCAATTGGGTGTCCTTGGTCACTCAACTGGGTTTACTGGGAGAAGACCGTTAATTCCTCCATCCACAACAGTGAAATGTGAAGGAGCTTCACTGACTCCACTAAATGGGGGAAGGGGTGCGTGGCAATCCCTTCCAGATACAGTCTCCGTGGCCGGAATTTCCTGCTCAGTTTCAGAAAGCAGGAGAGCTCCAGCCGGAGGGCTGACGTGCAGAGGGTGCGACTGAAAGTATGTCGTGACCACAGCCTCACGGGGTGGTTTTCTCTTGGGGGGGGGGCTCCACTTGAGAGGTGCAGGGTAGAGAGGTGAGCTCATCAGGTGTGGGCTGTTATCAGTGGATGTGCAAAGGGACAAGGAAGGGAGTTTTAAGATGCTGGTGCAAAGGGGCTAAAGCTGGATCATGGGGAGGCAATGAGGGCTGCTGGCGGGAGGAAGTGGATGCATCAAAGTGCAAAAGAGGATGTGGTAACACTGGAGGCAGGTGGAGGGGCCAGGAAGGTTGAACGGAGGCTGGGATGATGACGTCAGGGGTGGAAGGCTTCTGTGGGGGGACGAGATGCAGGGTGGAGTTACGGCAAGGAGCAGCTGAAATGAAGTTAAGGGAGGATGGCGTGGACCACAAGGTCGAGAGTTCAGATGAGTCACTCACAAGAATTCTGAGTACATCTCCTACCTCACCAATGTTTGCACATGTACATATTGTTTGGGGCTTGTTGTTTTTTCTGGCCGTGCCGCATGTGGGAATCTTAGGTCCCCAACCAGGGATTGAACCCACGTCCCCTGCAGCGGAAGCATGGAGTCCCAACCACTGGACCACCAGGAAGTCCCCATATTGGTCTTTCCCATTCAATTATGATCATTTTTAGACAGGGACAATTGGCTACTTCATCCCTGGCATGTTCAGGCACTCCTGAACATTCTATTTTTAATTAATAGACATTATTTTTTAGAGCAGTTTTAGATTTCAAAATAAATTGAGGGGAAAGTAGGAAGAGTTCCCACGTAGCCCCTCCCCCCAAACACACCCACCCTCCCCCACCATCAACATCCCCGACTAGGGTGCTACATGTGTTATAACTGAGGAACCGACACGGACAACTCATTATCAACTAAAGCCCATAGTCAACATTATGGTTCATTCTTGGTGGTGGACATTCTGTGGGGTTAGACAATGGTATAATGATATGTATCTGCAATTACAGTATCTTACAGAGTATTTTCACTGCCCTAAAAATCCTCTGCGCTCTGCCTGTTCATCCATCCTTCCTCTCTAACCCCTGGTAACCACTCATCTTTTTACCGTCTCCATAGCTCTGCCCTTTCCAGATTCCGTGGTGGAATCATACAGAATGTAGCCTTTTCAGATTAGCTTCTTTCACTTAGTAATACACACTGAAGGTCCCTCCGTGTCTTTTCATGGTTTGATAGCACCTTTCTTTCTATTGCTGAATAATATTGCACTGTATGGACGTACCACAGTTTCTTTATCCATTCACCTATCAAAGACATCTTGGTTGCTTCTAAGTTTTGGCAATTATGAATAAAGCAGACTTCCCTGGTGGTGCAGTGGTTAAGAATCCACCTGCCGGGGCTTCCCTGGTGGCGCAGTGGTTGAGAGTCTGCCTACCGATGCAGGGGACATGGG